ATTATTTGCAAAACTTGGACCCCACTCCAGATTCGAACCCGCAGTTACTCTATTTTGGGCCTCACGTGCTATCGAACACACCAACCGAGGCTCTTTGCGTTTATATCATCCATGTTTTTACTTTATCGGTGCTATCAGCAATCACCTGTCAACGGGAATGATTTGGGGAGGACAAATGAGCGTTTATAACCGAGTTAAGCTGAAGTTTCAGTAGAAATCACAGTGTCTTCAGCTTTTTATTTACCGCCTCTTCTTTTTTTCATGGCAGGTTACCATGTGAAACATAACCACATAGATGCTGGGGTGGCGCGTGATGGTGGATAGCACGTGGGTCGTCGGAAAAGCTAATCGAGTGTTCGGTGCCCTGTTGAGGTTCCACGTTTTGCTCATAAGTCAGCATCCTTGTGGTTGTATTACACATTGCAACCTGTCATGAAAACAGAATAGGCAATAAATAAAAGCTAACGACGTTACTGACAACAATGTTATTGTGTAGTTGACTGCTGGACGCTAAATGCACCACTGAAACGACGAAGCAAAAGTTTTTGAATATGTCTATCATGTTCTCAGTCCCTCAAATCCTCTGGTTATCGAGAAAATTGTCATCCATTATTAAAAAACTGTTATCCCTAGTTATGCGCTGACTGAGAATAGTGGTCGAGTTGTGCACTTCCGAAGGCAACATGGATTTAACGTCTTCTCAAGATGTAATCTCACCGGATTGAAGGCCAAGCGTTATTTACCCGCACCACAGAATAAACGCGTCAAAATATTACTCATGGTTTTTTTCTCTATTCGAATTGCTTCTCCCTTAATTAGACGTGTTTGGAAGCGTAACTGCCATTTGCTGACGACATTGCTGACAACTTTGCTGCTCGTTTGTCACTTAATTGACTGGCTTGACTACTTTCTATTGCCAGCTGCTCTACACTATTCCTCACCAGAATTTTAAAATATTTATAATCTCTTCTTCTATCTGTTGTCTTCAGTCTATTCTATCAGTTTCATGAAAAATCACCTGGTTGAAAATCTAACGGCCGTCAACACTCACCTGTTTACGGCTTGAGGGATTCATCAACGATTTAATTAGTACCTTAGTAGGAGTTTCCTTTCCATTGGTTTCACTACGCGAATAAATTAACCTCATAGAATGTAATGCTCCTGTTTATCATAACGGCTATCTAAAAATCTTTTATTGTAGAACTGCTTTTCCAGCTAGTTCTAACGAATGTCGTGTGCTGCCAGCGATTCCGAGCATAGCGAAGACAGGTGCTCTCTTCTGGCTTATTTTCACCTTTTTATCACCTCATAAATTTGGTAGTAAGTAAATAATCACATCTCGATGTATGATCACTTTGTTGGACAAATCGTATTTAAAATTCTATTATCAGGTTTCTGAGAGTTAAATTGCACATCATTGCAAAGCTCATTTTATGCACTTTGGCTTTGTATGATGGAATCATATTATTAGTTATGCTGTTCAAAAACTCTGCCAGTTAGAATTTCAGACTTCAGAACAGAATTTTCGACAGGCCCTCTTCTGCGAATTCAGTCTTGGAGGTGCGCAGCACAAAATGTTCAAAGCATTAAGTATGGAGCTGAGGAACTGTGAACGAAAGCACAGCACAACGTTGGTTTGAAAAAATCCGTCATGAGGAATTCGACCTTGAAAATGTAGGAGGTCTAGGATTTGGTTCTGCTATTTACAACGGTGAATATGAGGCTTTCCTGTAGGCAATTCGAGAACCTTCAGAAGGACCCTCCGTAAAAATTCTAACTGCTCAAAACATTAGAACGTTGAAGAAGCTCGAAAAGTTCACGGGGAACGAATTGAATGGCAATCAGTGGGATCGGTGTTTTGAGGAATCATCGCTGCTTCTATTACGCTGAATCAAAATGACCCGCTTCTCGACCGCGTTATAATGTACAACGAAACTAGATCTTCTACGACAACCGTCTACGTTCAAGTCAGCGGTAAAACCGAGGCAAAGCTTCGCAGCATTTTCCAAAGCCGAAATCCCATCAAACGGAGATCATGTTGGTCTTCTGGTCGTCTACAACTGGATTAATCCGTAATAGCCTCCTGAATCGAGTCAAAACGATTACGGCAGAGAAGTACGCCCAGCGAATCGGCGGCATGCAGACACTTCAGCTTATGCTTGCCAGCGGTTTTTTTTACAAATAATGATATTTTTGAGGTTAGCTATGCAACGATGAAAAAAGCCAGAAAGTTTTAGAGTTTTTTAGTTTTTAAAAAAGCTCTCGGCCTTGGCCAATTTCTGAGCGATGCGTCGTATATTCGACCTCATTAAGCATTGTTGGAGGTGATTAAACGCTTACCTGGTCTTTACAATTACTCGCGGCGGCCTATCGATATATCGAGCCAGTGCTTCTATCCTCCCAGACAATTCTGGTACCAATTTGCCGACCCCGGAAGGATGGCAGGCATCCGCGGACGCGGGATCGATTCCAAGTATGCGTTGCAGGGCACCTCCGAACAATTCACGCGCCCTTATGCAACCTTGAAAATACAGGTTGAAGTCCTATATTAATTTCCGAAGTACCTAATATAAGGCAAGACCTCTATGCCATATTCCTAATATTCTCCACACATGTGAGGCATAACAAATCATCTCATCTGATGCTCGTTATCTCTACAGGTTTTGGCGAATCAGCGAATTCTACGCTTTTCTTGAGTCATTAGAATTGTGTGTGTATCTTAAGAACAGCCCTTGTTAAACTGACGCATTGTTGTCATCAGGTGATCTTGTAGGTCGAAGGCTGACTTTTTGGCGACTTCGCACTCTGCAAAGCCTGGAGGTCAGTGGATTGTGTGCTCCTAGGTGAAATGAAGCATGTGATATAATCCGCATACATACAAGAAAATTATTTGAATATTAATGTATATAAACGGTATAAATCATTCCAGTCGATCAGATACAGAGAATTCAGCGACTGAATTCACCTGCACCGCAGGGAAAAACGATAGTGGCCGCTTGATTGATCGTTGCAAAATCCCCTTTGTGATAATTGTGAGCTCGACGCAGCTTCATGACTTATCACGTCAAAATTTCTCAAATGGAACTCATTTGTCAACTATTGCTACCACGTTGTTTGCAAGTATTTACTTCTACATCGTCCAACCAAACACGTTATCCGGAACCCAGGTCTTCTTTCATTCGCTTCGTCAGTCGCATCCGTCATTTATGAAAGTCATCATATTCGCATATGGACTTATCCGCTGCTTGAGAATTTTGGTCTTCTTTATGAATTTTGTCTAAAGCTGGTCGAGGTTGAATCATATAATAAAAGTACAAAAAGCACAAAGCTGTCGGCGTTGGTCAATTGCTGAGCGCGCGATCGACTCAGTGATTCTGTCCTCCCAGACAACTATGATGCCAACGTGGCGTCTCCGGAAGGATGGAGGACTTCGGAACATAGAGCGTGGGATCGAACCATTGACCAAGTACCAATTGCAGAGCACCTCTAACCACTAGGCCACGCCCGTCTCGTAATGTAATAAATGATTAAACAGAATAGACAATATTGGCTCTGCTTTTTGTTACCTATATCGTTTTGCGAACTTAGAAGACATCATCGCTTGGAAGATCTTTTGACGAAACTCCTTTCTCCTTTTTCTTTCTTCAATATTTGCTCCTCAAATGTTTTAGATGAAAGTAAAACTGGGCTGGTATTCATGAGCACACATAAGCAACGATATTATGTATCAGTCTTAGTTATCGAGAAACCCATCCTTGTACTTTTTTAAAAAGTCGTTACTTTTTCATAATACTTCTCAAATTACCAGTGTGGGTAGGATTGATGTCATTCTCTTTGTTGAGTGCTAGTGAGTCCTACTGAGTGGAGTGGACTGGATGGCTATAGCTTCTCTGACAACGAGTAATTGTTTAGTGATGCCGAATTTCTTGTCCATCCAATTCTTCGGAGTCTGATCAAATCAAAGTCCGCCTATACGATGAAGACGGAGCCGCCTCGTATGCGATCAAGTAAAACAGCTTTTGAGGTAAACAAACATAGAAACCTTTGTCAAAATTAACCGTACACGCTCATTATTACTTCAAAAAGAATATGGTTTAAAAATATGTTCATTAACATAGTTTACTAACCGCGTTAGTAGGTGCTAATAATCAGTTTTTGGTTTTCGTTGAAGAAAGCCATTTGTTGCCTTTTCTTTTTAATGGCAGGGTATGTTGAGAAATATAACTCGTATATAATGCTGAGATATTTGCAAAACTTCGGACCGCAGGTGTATGCAGTGGGGAACGAACACGCGCTGTTGTCCTTGCCGGGGAGCAGCGCACTTCACCACCACACCATCCGCGTCCTTCGTCTTGCTTGTCTCTCAGCTAGTTCTATCGAAAAGAAAAAGGCAGTAAATAAAAGGATTAAGATTGTGATTATAACTAAGCCTTAGCTTAACTGGATTCAATGCCGATTTGGGCACCCCAGATCAATCCCGTTGACGGGTGATTGCTGATGGCAAAGGATCGATAGAACTAGCTGAGGAGAGGCAAAACGAAGGACCCAGATGGTGGGGTGGTGAAGTGCGCTGCTCCCCGGTAAGGACAATAGCGCGTTCGTTCCCACGGCATACACCTGCGGTCCGGAGTTTTGCAAATATCTCAGCATTATACAAAAGCTATTTGTTTTCAGATTAATCTGTCGAAAATGTGGGAATCGGTGGTGGATGATGAGCCGCCGGTAGCAAATTTCACTCCAAACCTTGATCAGAAATGGCCTGAACCCGATACGCTAACAGCATATTCGATGGTCTTTTTCGTAAATCTTAAAGCATCTAGTTTCCTTTAATGATATGCCACTTCTGTTGCGTGCTCTTCAGTGAGTGCATAGGAACATTTATGAAAATATGAATGCTCTTATTTTCACACATAACGCTATTTTTCTACCATCATCTTTAGCAAGACCTTAACTTTCATTTACTGCCTATTCTTTTTCTTTTGTTTATGGCAGGGTTCAGTATGAAAAACAACCATAAGGAAGGTGAGATTAGGAGCAAAACTTTGGACTCCATGTGAACTTGGAGCCCGCGATTACATTTCCTGGAAACTAAAATGTGGTTCACTGATATGTCTTCTCAATTATTCCCGTTGATAGGTGATTGCTGATAACAACGATATAAAGAGAAAGGCAAATCAAAACCATTGGTTGATGTGGTAGGTAGCTTATGAGTACTCGACAAAGGTAATCGCTGATTCGAAGTCCATCCAGAGTTCTGAGTCTTCCTCATATCTCAGGTTTCTTGTGGTTGTATTTTATGACTTTTAAAAGCGTACACATTGTTTATTTTATGACTTTTAAAAGCGTACACATTGAAGATGAAAGTTTAATTTATGCTGGTGTCGTTAAAAAACTTAACTAAAAAACTACTTTTCCCTTCTCCCTAGAGTGTATAGCCCTATCTCATACGACTAACATCTCAACTATAATCTTTCATTGCAGGTTTCAAAGGGATCGAGAAAAGCTTCTTGTTGGTCATCTCCGGCCAACATATACTTAGGCGGACAATCTGCATCTCCATCGCTAATGAGTACGGTATTGTTCGGTTTGAGATGATGGCAGTTGCCAGACCACTTTAAGCTTCTTGATGCTCCTAAGGTTACACCAGCGAATTAGAATGTTATTTTAGATCTATTTTCTAGGAATTTTAATTGCTTATTAAGTTCTTATGCTAGTGCCCAACTATTAGCAGATTCCTCTAAGCGAGGTCGTTTATTTGGGCTTGCTGTGGAAAAACCATTTTTTTATAAGCAAAGATGTTTACTTTGATGTGGTCTGTAAGTAATCATACTGTCGTTTAGGAAACAAACATTTTTGGCAATTAGAATGTTTGTCAGCACCGGAGCGTCTCAACGGGAACGAACGATGTGACCGCAAGGCGGAGAACCAAACCAGCTCGTGGTCTCCGTACAAAATCGACGTCGATGACGCCTTCATTGCATCGGAGTTCTCGAACAGCTATCCAATGATCGATACTAATCATAAAGGTGACTACTTATTATCCATGTTTATATTCGAGTTTTAATTGTGCGCCTCAGATCAGGTAAGGGGATCGGCATATACTACGAATCATATAAGATTTCACACGTGGGAAGCGCAATGTTTGAAGAACCTCAATGATATCAGCGCGATCACGGGGTCGACTCCGGCATGGGCTAGTCAAGCTGCTTAACTCGGCAAATTGGTAGTGGAACTGCCTGGCAGAAGATTGCTACCACCGACAAAGGCTCGTGGCAACTTGTGGTGAAAACCGGGATACCCCCAACGCAGCTACCCCAGGACTTTACGGAAAATCCATTCGATAGTCATTTAAGGTCACCTATATGGTAGACTAAATTTTCAAGGAGTAGCAAAAGCAATGAGCAGATCCGAAGATCTTGGTGTGAGTGCTAGGAAAGTGGTCGAAAGGAAGTAATGCTGGGATGTGTGGATGAATTGATCTGGGCTCGTATAAATAAATGAATAGAAAAACAAAGAGATGGCTGTCGAAGATAGTCGCGTTTCACCTGTCGTAAAAAACACTTAAAACCAGCAATTTCGAATTTAACAGTGGTTGATTTCTCAGAATTTTTATTAAAAGTCAAAGAAGACTATCTATACTGACAAATGGGCGCAATGTTTCAGCACTGATACGCACGTGCTAAGGAGCAAAGTCGGTTGTCACTATTTTCTAATGCTTTTCTACACTATGCTTTAGAGACACTGGCCTTCTGATTCACAAAGGTATTTAATAGCGTAGTGGTTAATGTTAAAGAAGAAGTGACAGAGGCCATTACAAACACATTTCACATTGGTCGAAATGGCCATTTTCTGCAATTTGTGTTTACTTGAGTTTTGTACTGGTTGGGCAAGTTTTTTTGTTTCTTAATATCCTGTAATGGTGGTACAGGGACGAGTCGTTCTTGTTGTGCCTCACATTTCGGCAGCTAAAACAATCCGTCTCTCCACTGAAACACGATACACTATCGCTGAGATAATCAAAATGTCCCCTTTCTCCGGTTGGAAGGGATTTCAAACTTTTGTTCACAAAGAAAGTGTTTTCACGGTAAATATTAAATTACTTCAGTTGCGTTTAACACTATGTCCTGTTTTTAACATTAAATAGAAAAGTGGCCTATTGGCGACATAGTTGATGAACTTCACTGAAAGCAGTTCCGGTTTAGCAAAGTTGCTGTGCTTGTAAAGATCGGAAGGAGAAATAACGGAAATAAACATGAAAAAACATTACGGACTAGGCTTTTTAGGAAATTTCCACCTTATCTTTCACGTAACCAAATGAGATCTCACGTTTCTCACCTCTAATAGGACTGAATGACAAGCCTGTACACTGAGGTAAAGTGCAATGTGGTGGCTGCAAAACAAACGCTGGCGCAAGCATTATAGAAAGCTGTGCAAGCAGCCCTTCATGATCATCGAATTAAGGAAGACATTAATTGATCGCGAAGCCTCTAGATCACCTATCTAAAACGATATGTTTTAGTTTTTGAGTTTATTCTATTTGCCCACCTGTTTCGACCTAGTCCGTCTGCAATCCCTATGGGATTTGTCCCCTAGCGGTTGTGGTCTCATTCGTTTCAATTTTACTCTCCCTCACTGTTACAATTGCCCGCCTATCGGGGCATCATATCCGAAAGCAAGGTTCGATGAATACTGCCTTGTTGCTTCATCAGTAATCTGGATTGTCGTTCGTCCTATTTCTCCCGACTTGATTTTATTCCTACAACAAACGTTGGCTTGTTTTACTGCTCTCCAATTTTCGTCTCGAATTGTTCTTTTCGCTTTAGCATTTGATGGTTGCTTTTCCACTGGAAGCACCATTAGCCACCATTGCTTTCTATTCGCCGTCACACTATTTATTTTCCGAGGATTGTATTCATTTATTTGTCCATACACAGTTACTATTGGTAGTAGAGGCGAAATACCCAAGAAGAACTAAACCATAGAAGTAATAAGATTGGAAATCACAACCACATTTAGGAAGTAGCATTAGGGCCACTTAGCCAAAAGCCTTCATAGTAGAAAAAACTGAGGGTGTTGGAAACTTTTAAAGCTAAAGTTAGATAAAACTCTTTACTAAAAAATGGGAGAAATGCTTGCAAGAGGAACCCCGAACAGCCAAGGTAGTTGTGTCTAACAAGATTTCGAGAGTTCACTTCCGAGTGTCAGTACCCCTAACGATACTAGAAAAACTTAGCTACAATTACCAAAACATAGACAACCACGGGACATCCTTTTATCAAACGAACTAATATCGTCTGGATAAGTTCGATATAGTTCTGTTAATGCATTGTAATGCAAAAGCATTTCATAAATCTCCAATTTTTTCGGGAATTCTTACTCAGATCTACTTTTGTTGGGCACATGTTGGCGTGACAAAAGCAGTTAAAGCAAGCTTGGTTTACTCAAATTTAAACAACTGAAGTAAAAATCTTAATCCTTAACTACTTTGCGGATGCTTTCTAGCTCATAAAGAAGCCGACATTATTTCCATCACTAACGAACTCAATGAAGCATTAAAGAGGTTCGTAGAACACTTCTGAATGAACTATCGTAAAGCATTACCAGAAATCTGAGCTTGTAATCCTTCACAATAACAAAGGTGTACTTTGCCTGCAAAATGTGATCAATGAAGATGCCAGTTGAATTGATGGAGATGTAAAATCCTCATTTTATATGTTTATTCCGTCGATGCATCTGCTACGGTGATTAGTCTCCTTCAATTTGAAACAAGCAGCGACCTCTTTGCCTCCTATTCACTTCCCTTCGAGCCACTTTCGTTGCTCGTTTGTCGCTCTCGTCTCCTGCAACCCTTTGAAACCAATTACATGAGTGTATGCCTTCTCGGGCCTACGACGCTTCCCATCCTCAATTTTACGGTTGCGCCTTATTTATAGCTAAAAATTGTTGTCATTACTTGAAAAATGCGATACTATTGTCGTTTAAGACACGACATCCGCACTGCTGACCTTAATGACGATTCTTTAGACACTTTTTACCTGAATACCACTCGTCGTCAAAGTTTCAATCTAAGGAAACGAGATTCCAACTCTTTCGAACCTGAGTTTTATCATATATTTGAGATTTTTCCAGCAGTACTCTACATCTTTCGTTTATTTCAGTAGGTTCTAACGGGACCAAGTTCGTATGTAATTAAATAGAGAGAGTTTTTGAATGAAAGGTGGACTAAAGCAAATACGGTTCACACTTTCTACACATCATTATAGTACTTATTTTTTTTGTCTGTGTCTAACAAACAGCTTATGTAAACCATAACCTCTTAGTATAGCGGTTTCGTAACGTACAATCCGATAGACACAGTGCTGTCGTACTCACAACGGAAGTTTTTCTGACATCGAAGAAATGTCTGATTTTTGAAAAACCTAAGCCGACTATTGGTCTTATCCTTACATTTATTTAACCCTATCAGCAGTCTTATCAGTTCTAAATTCTCGATTCCAGTTTCATCGCCATTATTGAAACGCTTTCCGTCAAGTGGCAGCGATATGTCGGCTGATTCTCCAGTATCATCGATGCCATCATTGTCTCCAATCGTCGGAACACCACATATCACACACTGTATGTTGATGATCAATAGCATTTTTCGAATACATGTTTCGGTTTCAATCAATATGGTTCAGATTAGTGTAACATCGATGAGTCAATATTTATTTACAAGCAATTAAATAGTCAGAATTTATAGCATATAAGCACAGCGTGGGGCGCAGCGGTCGGAGGCGCACTGCAGCACTCACGTGGAGTCGATCCCAGCGCCCATGGCTCACCAAGCCTTCCATTCCTCCGAGATCGGTAAATTCGTACCAGAACTGTCTTGAAGGTTAGCAGCACTGGCTTGATGCATCGATAGGCCACCGCGAGTCATTGTAAAACCCAGATATGCATTCATTCAGCTCCAAACCATGCATAATGAAGTCGAATCCATGGCGCATCCCCAAAGGGATTTATTAACGCCGAGAGCTTTATCCTAATTTATCCTTTATAAGCACAGCACTTTTCGGTTTCAGCACTCGTTTTTAACTTTTCATTAACGCTCTTTGTTTGAAAACTTTTTGGAAACGGCTAATAAGAACGAGGAGGAATCACAGTGGAATGAAAATACTTTTACTCATTCTTTTCTCTCCGTTTTTAAAACCCTCTATAGTTTCATGTGGTGCTTTGCAGTCAGCGAGCAGAATAGCGATTCCCATACTCCGATGCAGCAGCAATCACTTCTGGAACAGTCGTCGTATGTCGATAATCCCACTTCAGATGATGATTCTCTTCAACGAGATCCATGGCCGCATCAAGAGGTAGCGATTTTACGAAATTATACGATGCAACGCCACTTTTGAAACGAGATGTCATGATAATAGCCGTGAGTCGTTCAGAGGCATCGTTTTCACCAGACGTAATGATGATGAATATATGACATTTGTTTTAAGCGAATCCATTTTTAAATGTCAGTCATGACGAATAGGAACTAGGCAAAAGCGTGAAAGAATTAATTAAGGATTCGGATGGAGTTTGCGTGAAGCTGTAGGAGCTTTCCCGTCTTTTTTTTCTTTTCGGATTTATAGTAGCGTTAGAAAGTCCTGTATTTGGTTCTAATATTAAAGGATGTGTCCTATTAAGGAATTGAACTTGACATCCCATAGGTAATGAAGTGACTATTTTTACTCCGATAACCTGTTATCCCTGAGCTATACCTAGCGTGTTAAATTTCAGTTTTAGGCTCCAAACCTAGTTTCCATCTCATCCTTAACACTATCTTTTGTCGTTCTTTTCTTTTACATCGTATCTTATTAGAGCTCGTTGCATATACTAACTACAAAAACAAAGTGCAAACTCATCCATCTGCAAACGTACTCGAGTTGCTCACTGCAATTGGTGCGTAGATATTTCAGATTATAATATGTTTCTATAGGTGGGACGTGCACATTTTGCATAATAATGCGGTTACAGTTACTTAGTGCTTACTTTTTAACAACAACACACCACTGTACAGTATCACTGTATCAGCTGGCGCGTTCAAGCAAAGAAGAAGCTAGTCACCTTAGGAACTACGCTTAGGTGGTAAAACATTTTTCTTTTCTGCTCGTTTTAATTTGACGTAGTAGTTATTCTAAATGTACTACAAATGATGCGTATCTTTCCGTTCATTCCCTGCCTATTATTTTTTACGGCAAGGTATTATGTGAAATACATTTACTGCGATGCTGAGATTTTTGCAAAACGTGGGCCCCAGGCCAGATTAAACCCGCGATTACCCTTTACCAGGGCTCACGGGTTATCCATCGCACTACTAAGACCTTTGTTTCTCCTTTCTCTCCACCACTTTATCTTTGTGTTGCGTTCAAATTAAGTAAGCTGTAAAATTATTTATTTCCCGTTAATTAAAGAAGGCGATTTTTCCAGTCGTTCTTCGAAATGAATCATGCTGCTTTTAAAGCTGTTATGTTTATTTGCAATTTGCTGCATCTACTTCCAGAACAATGGAATGCACTTTAAGGTTTGGCCTGAAGAGGACTTTATGAGTCGTTCGACACGAACGGGATGGACAACATCTATCGCGGCGACTTTTGTACAACGATCACAATCCTCCCACATTAGTATCGAACATGGGCGAATTGATGGCCAGATAAATGAAAATCAGTCCGTTCACAATCAGCTGCGATTCATATCGAGCACACACAAGTGTCCCACTTTATCGCAACTTGACGAGATTGAGAGGTAATGATTGGACTTATCTTGAAGCAACCAATTTAGCTCAAAAACTTCAGAGTTCCGTTGAGGTTCGATTGCTTTAGTATTAGCTCGTTGAATTTTAAAAGGTTTCGAAGTAATGTGTTGCTAATTTTAGACGTGACCTAGTCAACCGATCGGCTTGGATAGACCGCGGCGATAAAACGATTAAGCAGGAACGTTTCGGTCACGACAAGGTAGCGGTAGCTAGCAAAACCTCAGCACACAAATGTCGGAATGGCAGCCAATCAGGTGTCTACAGTGGATCCAGCCACTCAGATCACATTCGACGTTCGTACACCACGGAAGAACTTAAACGTGAACGGCGAAAGCTCCCAAAAAGACCTGACGTGCTACCATGTCTCAGTAGGTGCCTACTGATGTATAAAAAGATAATAGTTACACTTTTTTAACGACCAAAATAGGGAAAAACAAGTCAACGGGGATAAAAGAAGTAACGACCAGTGGTGGTTCGGATGAGATTCCAAATTTGGCTCTTTTTTAGAAATCACCTCTTCAGAGTCAACTCTTTTTCAAAAACCGACTTTTTTATGTTCCATTTATTTTATTGGCATCGGAGGGACCTATTTTTTATCTGTTTTTTTAACCAATTTCGGAGAGACCTCTCAACTGTCTGCTTTCCTAAAAATGAACACATTTCTTGCGAGATGAATCACATATGACCCATACAATATGCAGAGTACTCCATCTTTTCTGTCCAATTTCAGCCAAGAAATACCCGAAATAATTTCGATTGATGGAATTAAAGCCGTTGGTACCTGCATGTCTTAGCCAATATGATGTACTTACTAGGCAACGACGAGGTTCTGTATTTTTGGGTTCCAAAAATCAATTCTTCGCTTCCGTCGTTGAGGCTCGTTTCTCGAGCATGGAAGTCGTTGTATGACAAATATTGTGTTTAAAGCCACTATTTTACTCAATTTAAATTTAAGAATAACAATCAATATTTTACGAGAGTCAGTATGATTTTTTAGAACAACCACACATGGTCATAGAGCGTTCCAAAGATAAACAATCATTAAAAAGCAGACTTTGATGCCTGTTATTGGATTAGTGTGTGGGCTCGATTACACTTTCGACCTTAGCATTTTCTGTTCCGAATGATGTTTTCAATGCCTGTCGTGTGTGATTTCCCATGTAATCTTGAGATTGCTGTGCTAAGCCATTCCTTAATCTTCACCATAGGAATCCGTTTGGATCGGAGACAGATTTGCCGCTTTCGAACATCCTCTCATAATTATAGCGATTTATTGTTCAGCAATCGCGAGGTTTTTAAACAGCATACATTTGCTTCCATAAAAACACAATACAATACAACGCTAGCTGACGTTTCGGCAGTATCGCCTTCTTCAGAGCCGCTTTTTCGTCACTTCCAATGAGAAAGTTTATATAGCGATTTATTTCACTGTGGTTATTCCTATGCTTAGTCGATAACGGTTATATTAGTCTCAAATACTTTCTCTTTTCCATTTTCTTGGTGAATTTCATTAAAAAGTAGAAAGAAATGATTCTTTTAGTAAGCCATACCCTATGGGATTCTTTCTGCGACCACATTGAAGGAAAAATTTAATTCCAAGGGCAAATTTTAAAATGCGCAAAGGTTACAAAATATATTTTTCCAGGTGTCATTATCGAAGACTTTGTCATTCAGGCGATTTGCCGTCATCGATCTCGTTACATGGACAGTTGTTGTACAACAGCCCTGAACTCCATCGACAGGACAACAGCGCAATGCAAGATGGTGAATCTGTCTATTTTCCGATGCCGACGTTAACCGAACTTCAAACGTCCTTGTATGTTAAACTTTTCTATTATAACATTAGATGAGTGCTTCATGCAAACAACGTACACTTGTAATTATTTTGCGAGCGCTGAACGTTTGAGGAAATCATTTTCATTTATTTAGGCTTATCTTATATTTAAGTTTGCCATATATATATATATGTATATACATATATATATGTATATACATATATATATAACCACAATGGTGCTGAGATATTTGCAAAACTCAGGACCGCAAGTGTCAGCGGTGGGAACGAACGCGTTATTACCCGTTTCGGGAGCTAACGCGTTCACCACCACACTATGCGAATCCTTTGTTTCGCCTGTTTCTCAGCTAATTCTAGTAGTCAGCAAATAAAAACTTATTATATATATATATATAATTCTTACGATCCGTCCTTGTTATGCTGATGCGTAGTGGATATCAGTTCTTACTGTTGTTGTGGTTTGAGGGCTGATGTTTCGGCAACTTCATATTCTTCAGAGCCTGGACGTATTTTATTTAACTCCATTCATGTGATTCGTTCAACTATCTATAGTATTTATGAAGACTTATTGCATAAATTAAAGCCGCTTTTTTCGTAAAATACCCATCGTTTTGTTACGTGTGGGACCACCCGTGTGTTGTTCACGTGGGATCATGGTATGACGAGTGAAACTCACCCAGATTAAAAAATATCTGAGAAAAGGCTCCAGATCACGTCTGATAGTGAGGTATTCCCCTTTCTGGTTCATTTTTTGTGCTTTTGAAATTTGTCTGAGGCGCCTCAGTGATCTTGCGCGTCAATGGCTTTTATTCCCGTTGATTCCTGCTCTAGGACAATGACAGTCACTTCAAAATCATCATCTTCGTGCCTTTGTGCCAAATGTATACCTATAGGAGTACATTATCAAATTTTAAGCTACTCATCCAGGTGTTTTTTTATGTGGGCGAAAATTGGTCCACAAGTTTTCCCAATGTATTCTTCACCGCATTCCTTACGTCAGATTAAGTATATTGTGCGGTATATTGTGTATTGTGTACTCCTGCAGTCCCCGTTTTTTTGTTAGGACAGATTACACAATTTTCTGAGCTGCATGAACAGTCATAGAATAGAGGGGGTTGGCTTTCAAGAACAATTCCTAATCAGCTCTCAATAGCATTACTTATATCGCTTGATATGCAAGGTAGCTTTAAAGGCATCTTATTTAGGCGTGATACACTGTTTTGTGGCATGAACATTTTGATATGACCTGAGTGACTGCTGCTTCCTAACCATTGGAAATGGCTATTTTTCGTGCCAGCTTTAGTGATTCCTTACTTTGTTCTTCTTCTCTGTATACGTTTCTAGCCGTTCGGTTATTGTTTATGATAAGTGCTTTTTTGCATGTGTGAAGGATGAGAGGAGAGGGAATGCACAAGTACACTTTCCCTGCTTGGTTTTTGTGATGCAGTCACTTTCTGAAAGCTTTATTTAGATGTTTAAGAATGGTAGGCAGTTCTGGCTTGGTTTTCCGGCGTAAATTTTTTATTCGCTAACTGTCTGTTTAACCATTCGGAGCACTTCAGAGCACTTATCTATGTGTTTTTGTATACAACAGACTATAAAGCAGTCGTTTCCGTATAGATAGTAGTGTTGTCTCTGTATCGATAGTAGTGTAATGTTCGATGATCCAGAACTGGAGCTTCCACCTTAAACATAAAAGCGATAGCAAGGCTCGATCTTAATCGCTGTCACAGGGCCAACCCTCTGACTGTTGCAGAATATCTCCTTGACCACCTAAACACTGAACAACTAAGGCACTTTCAAAAGAGCAATTAGCTATTGAATCGACAAACGAGCGCCTCGAAAATGGTTTGCATTGCGGAGTTATTTGATATATATATATGTATATATATATATATATGTATATATATATGTATAAAAACTTATAACTTATAAACTGATCTTGTTGAGCTGATGCGAGGTTGGTATAAGTTTTCGTTGTCGTTGTCGCTGTCGTTGGTGTTCCACCTATAACAGCACGGCTCTGAGGAAGCCGAAATCGCCGAAACGTCAACCAGCGACCAACAACACCAACAACAACAATAGTAACAACAACAACGTCAACGGAAATTTATACGAACTTCCCATCATCTCAAATAGATCAGTTTATAAGACCATACAAATAAACATGTCAACTATTTATTCCGAGGTTTATAGAAACTCGATCTTTTGAGTCATTAAATGTATATTATATACCATGGAGTTCTGTCTCCTTAAACGCAGATGGATGTACAAGGCGGACTCCCTGTTTCTGTTGAGCCAATTTGACACGCTGCTTCTGTGTTTATTAAGAAATACTGGTGCATGCCTGTGTGAATGTGCTCTGGTTTATGTGGATTATATTCTACAACTCATTTCGACAAAGAGCCAGTCAAGGACATAGTGGGAAGTACATGGGAGGCGGTTAAGGAGTAGCGTGTAACAGATAACCCCCTCGTTACGTCTGACCTATGGGCATGTTTAACCCCAACATTCAGGGATAAACGAGCTATACGTGGGTATCAATTGTTGTAGACAGTGAAAGAAGTGGGCTTCATTCCACTGTTCCCGAAAGAGCTCTCGATACCACAGCGTTGAGAGGCAGAAGTATAGAGAATCTGCTAAAATCTCAGGACCATTATACGCTACCTAAATGTCGAAGTATCAAGAAGACGGATCTGTACCTACGATGCACGCCACTTGCACCTGAGTCAGTCGTAGAAGGCCTGATCATGCAGGCAAGGAGGTTAAGATACGACGTCATGGGAATGCTGGAACAAGAAGATGCCGTCCATTCAACGATCTCTGTGACACTTGAGAAGAACTGTTGGAATATGCGACAACACGACAACAGAGGGGACGGCTGCGTTCTCGTCAGCACGAATTTGTCGATGAACATCGATTCATTCGATCGACTAACAATCAGAATCGAACGTTAGCTATTGAAAAGATGTGGAATATCTGCTTTGATAATCGTTCTCGTCTATGCACGTCTATGTAAAGCTATGGCGGAAACAAACTCAAAAAGTTCGGTTCTTGGAGAAGTTCTGCAGAATAGACTACACACTGTTTAATTGGCTATTATTAATTGTTAGCCAATTAGTATTATTAACTGTTGAAGACTATTATTGGAGATTTTTACGCTAAGACTGCACCCGAAAGAACGTCTGTAGAGCGTCGTATTGTGGCCCACGGATTAGAGTGGAAGGAGCAAGGTGAGCAATTCTCTGAGCTTATTATGACGATCAATAATTCACAATTCCAGTCTGGTAACTTCTATATTGCTACGATTGAAATCGAATGAATCTATGGTGGGCTCTTGAAGATGAACAACGCTCAACACTGTCATTGCTTCCTTCAGTTTCTGGTTAATGCACAGGATTGAGCAGTCATAATATTTATTATTTTGGGTATTTTTTAAGCTAATAAATAAAGATCAGAGTAATGCGATCACGTGCCTTGCTCCAGCCGATTTTACCATTTATGTAAGTGCTCCGGACATTTTGAAGGAGAACATTTTTGAGAAATGAGCGGAACGTTTCCGTTTTGGCTAGATTCTCTGTGTTGTCAAGAATTCATTATTTCGAGGGCGGTAAGGACATTATTTGATTACGTAAAAACGTGTTTTATGTTGCAAATAATGAATGTTTCACTGGAAATGTTAGCTATCGCATTTGCTGACTCTAAGAATTTGAACAGATGTGAGGATAGTAGTGAAGCCTTCTCGAAATTCGTTCCAACGGTCTGCACTTCTAAAAGAAACTTTTTATTAATTTAGTCGTTCAACTTCCCCTTCTGTTGTGAGTCCCATGAAATTAAACTCATTAACCATTCGTCGTAAGAAAAATATTTATTGAGCTACAGAAAATTGTTCAGAAACCAATGTTTTGCCCTATTAATCAACAAACATGACGTTCTTACAAAAAATCCTTTATTGTGCGTGACAACCTAGCACTTTCACCTTGTTCAGAGCTACAGTAATCCGAATCGGATGTGCACAGTCGTTCCTCCTTGAGATATGATCGTTCATCGTCGCACCACTAAATCAAATCCAGTAGATAGAGTGTCACTCAAATAAAGTATCTTCACGCGGCAGTCTTTTTGTGCAAGATTGATCTGTGCCTTATTGTCTATTGATATTGTTGGCTTCCTTCGGATAGTCGATCCTGTCGCAGTCGGCAGTGTATTAGCTCACACATAGCAGACGTATATATATATCCACGAAGGCCTTCGGATTAAATTAAAACGATGCTTCAATTAATCTCCTGCATAATTAGGCTGACACAAAGTGAAAAAGGACAAAGAAAGTACAAAAGTAAAAGTAAAAAAGTAAAAGTACAAATTAGATGAATGAAAGTTTTTATATCATTCTCGTGTCAGCTCAATCATGGGGAAGATTATTAACTGTTCTTACCGACATTGTATGAAAGTCGGTCATTAATAATACAATGCTCAAATTACAATGTGAGCTTTTTTATTTGCTGCTTTTTACAATTTTCCACTGTAGGGTAATTGTAAAAGGCAGTAAATAAAAAAGCCGACTTTGTGATTTTCAGCTACAGTTTCAGTTTAACTGGGTTCAACGCTGATTTGTGCTCCCCAGATCAATCCCGTTGACGGGTGATCGCTGATGGCACTGCTCTTTAGAGAACTACTCGAAAGACAGGTGGAACCAAGGACCCGCATGGTGTGGTGATGAACGTGTTCGCCTCAGAAAAGGGTAGTGCTCAAACTAGTTTTTATAACAAATGATGGTTTTATCTTTGATGAAGTCATTTCTGTCGACGAGGAATTGAAACTCATTTGTTACAAGGAGTCGCAGTTGTCTAAAGTGACCTTCATCCTTTGCGTTTCACATCGATAGGACCAATTTCCGCTAACCACAGAACTTTCGAAAGATTTTATTCATAGAGAGAAATTGACGACAACGACTTCAGACTGTGAGCTCATAATAATAAGGTACTAGAGGAAACTGCAGAATGGTGTGCTAATGGTCCTAAGCGAGTCTGATCCATGAATCTCAGATTTCGCATGGGT